TCTCAGATTTTGGGCCCGAGGCGGTGGCCTCACTTGCCTCGGCCCAAAACTGGCCCTGCATATTTGTAGTTACGTGATTTCCCTTATGACTTGAATTTTGAATAGTTTTTACTTCAAATAAGTGCCCCTTTTTGGTAGAATTGGATGAATGGATGCTAAAGGAGGAAACCCAAAACTATGTAACACGGCAGGTATTTTACTACTTTAATCAAGTAGCATCAAAATTTCTCTTTGCTCGAGATTTTAGTTACTTCAACTATCCAAATAGCCGAGTTAGAGCTTGCAGACATCCATATTAATTCGCTTATATAAGCTTAATAAAACAAGTAAAGCTAAAGAAAGCATTGCTTAATATGTACAATGCTAATACTAAGTTTACAAGAAACAAAATCAGCATGGCTACCTGCAGAAAATATAAAATCAGTTGCACCTAAAATGATATAAAGATCACACTGATGCCCAGTTCAGGCTGAAAATGTAAGGATTCAGCAATTCCATGGCTAAGTAGCCTGAATTGGGGGTATTGTAAGCCAAACTGATATACAGTGGTTACATACTTTACGAGTGGACCCGAAAAAATTTATGTCAAATCATAATAGCGACCTTAAGATATGAGCTTAGAGTATCTTGAGCTGATGCTACATGGATTACGTTCTACTTGAATCTTACTTAGAGCTTGAATATTACACTAAACTCGACTATGGTAACACATGCTACGCTCTGCAATCAGTAACAGGCTGACAAGCATTGGCCAATGTCAAACTCATTTCCTAAAGATAATGTTACAATGAAACAGAATGACTATTAATATACAGAATTTACCTATGTTTTTTTCCATAATTCCAACTTCATGATGGTAGTAATATATAGCTTCAATTGAAAGAGTTTTGACAGACACAATTGGATTCAGTACATGGAATCCTAACCATTCATGCATTGAATCCCATCAGGGGCAAAAAAGAAGGTAGGATTGCCTTAAATCCACTATCAACTAAAGGGGCCGACATCTAAAACAGTTAGTAGAGTTACCTTGTTCTGTAACAAGAGCTACAATCGTGTCTGATATATCCTCCAGAATGCTACAGCAGATATCATTTGTTACGATTAACGATTTGGCAATTAGACAATTTAATGAACAAGACTATTACAGAGGTTACCTACCACCACTCCATGGATCCAATAAACCATTTGAGAATATAATAGTACTCCAAAAGGCCTTCAAGACTTCCTTAAATCCCTTCATAATGAAACAGCAAAAGAGGCATATAAGTTACCCATCTTGATTATCTTGCATAATTGCTAAAAATTTGAGAAGATCAAATCACATACATATTAAAGAAAGCAAATATACCAATCATAAAAAAAAAATCAAGAAACTACAAATAACAATAATCTAATCAATATTCCAACCAAGTAATAAAAAATAAGGTTTGTCTACTCAGCACCCCAAATTTTTACGTTGGTCTGGTTACAAATTACACACACACAAAAATTGTAATAATAATTAAAAAAAGAAAAAACATGGATGTGAAATATGAACAAGGCAAAAAATGACTAAACCTGAAAGGTGCTTGAATGAAGTGGAAAAGGTCGACGCCGTGGAAGTGGAAGTTGCCACCGCTCCTAACTCCCGATTTGTGCAATAAATTACCATGTAAACAAATTTTCAAGATTTCTTTGAGAAGGAAACTGAACGTGAAAACCAGATCTAGAGAAAAAGAGTTTCCATATCTAGAAAGAAGGAGAAAAACCAAAGCAAGATGAAATGAATGTTCTGGAAAGAGAAAGCAAAAGGAACACTCATCTTTTACACAATGTACGATGTTGTTTGAAAACCCAACCGACTTTCAAGCAGCTCAGCAAACCCAACTCAATTCAAAATGTGTGAGCCGATCACAAATCCAGCTTGTGAACAGTAACTCACTTATCTTTTACACAATACGATGTCGTTCGAAAACCCAACCCACTTTCAAGCAGCTCAGCAAACCCGACTCGATTCAAAATGTGTGAGCCGATCACAAATCCAGCTTGTGAACAGTAACTCACAACTGCCTCTTTTACTTTTAGTTAGATTATTTCTATGTCACTTTTACATTTCGCAATCTCTTTATGATACGGGTTCTCTTGGTCTATTTACAACAAGAAGATGGACAGAAAATACAAGCTCATCCCACAAATTTCTCCTAAGAATACTAACTGGGCATAAAAAATATTCTCAGAAAAGAACTTCAAGAAAATGTTTCCATGACATATCAAAATTTTACTTTGATGGATCCTCAAGTATGTTATTATAATAAGAAGAAATGAATATGCAAATTCCTTGTTTAGGTAATGATTTTTTATTTCTTCTATTCATCAATTGCCAAAGCTGTACATAGAAACAAGATTCGGGCTACTTTTGAAGATCGTTCGCTTTTATAAAAGATGTATCTCGTGTCAAATACAACTGTAGAACAGACAAAACCAGAGTATATTGCTTCAGTTGGCCCGGCCACTGAATTATCATTGGAAAAACAAAAGTAATAAAGATACAAGATCACAATATCTTGCGTCTTCACCCCATTTGATAAACAAGGAAATACATGGATAAAAATGCTGACATAAGTAAATTCAAAGACTTTCACTACTTTGATGAGTGATTACATGTAGTCTGTTTAACAACAAATATGTCAATATTACTGCAGGTATTATTGGAGCTGGAATTGATATAAAATCAAATAGGCTCATTACAACATGATTTGAAAATCACCCTTACGTACAGAGTAAATTTAATCAATCATCATTGTACTTTAGAATTGTTACTACTTACTCACTCATTTTTAACGGGTTGCTGAATAATCACACATCTTTACATGTAATTATGCATCCATCACTCATTTAACCCCATCTCTCCAAATAAACGAAAAATTACGTGGATAACAGTAATCAAACGTGGCAAACTTTCTCCATTAAATCTTGACGACCTGGAATTAAACCCACGACATATATACTCTTAAAATCGCGCCTCAACCTATTTTCGTGACATTTCTTCACTGGAAGAGAAAATAAGAAAAACTCCTATCAATTTTTCAAAATTCTCTCTGAAATCAACATATTAAGCTTGAGAATTCTTCTCGTGTCTAGGTAATGGAGCGCATAGGTGACCCACATGGCCCTCATATGGACAATAATTGGATGGAAGATGCTTTGTTGGAAGTTGAGCAAGAAAGACCAGGAGAAAGTAAATTTTTATATTATTTTGTTGGAACATGCTTTGTTTCCTTGTGGGCATGAAGTAAAAAAAATAAAAAATTTAATGTTTATCTAAATGATTCTAAATTGAATGTTTTGAAATAGGCAATATTTTAATCCGATTCACTGAAACCCTAGCCATACTTTTGTTGCAATACCTTAACCCAGTCTTTTAGATGTAATGAACATTAACCTTAGACTTTTTGCATTCTAGTGACGAACAATGAAGGTGAAGATTTCGTGTCACTTGAGTTCTAGTTAAATAACTCAGAGGATGATGTAGATGATGGTGGTTTTCATTATCGAAGAAATGCACCGAAAAGAGTTGTGGTTGGTCTGAATGCGGACCTTAAATTTCGAACAGCTAGTGAAGATGATGGCTCGGAATTGGATGATCCGCATTATACATATTCTAAGGAGGAGTCGCATACTGATCATTCTTCAGGTGAGAAAAAATAATTACCCTGTTCCCACTTATGATGCTGAAATGGAGAAGTTTAATCCACAACTAGAGGTTGGAAAAGAGTTCAACGATATAGAAGAATTTAAGAAAGCAGTTAGACATCACAGCGTTGTCACTAGGCACAATTTGAAGTTTAAGGTGAATGACGATAAGAGAGCACATGGAGTGTACAAAAAAAAAGGATTGCAAGTGGAAGATTTGGGATTCATGGAATAAGAAGATGGGCTATGTGCAAATTAAGACATTCATTTCGTAGCACACATGTATATGAGACAGAACAAATAGGCATTGTATGTCTAAGTATATTGCTGAGAAGTACTTAGAGACTTTCAAGCTTGCCCCTGATTGGAAGTCAGAACTCATTATTAAGGCCGTGGGAGATGACTTGAAATTACTAATCAATAGAGTTACTGCATGGCGAGCTAGAAGACACGCGAAGATATTGATTGAGGGATCTAATGAACACCAGTCTGGCTTGCTTTGAACTTTTGCTCATGAGACTTTGAAAATCAATCCAGGATCTACATGTATAGTTACCACACATGAGTCTAAGTTTCAAGGGATTTATATATGTTTAGAAGCTTACAAGAATGGTTTTTTGAGTGGTTGTAGGCAACTTTTAAGCTTAGATGGGTGTTTTTTGAAAGGGAATTTTGGCGAACAGATGCTTATTGTAGTGGCACTAGATGCTAATGATTGTATTTAGCCAGTAGCATACGCAATAGTGGAGACTGAGAATGTTAGAAGTTGGAGATTGTTTGTTAGTCATTTGGGTGAAGATTTAAGGAATGTGATTAACAATGAATGAACTTTTATGACTGATAGGCAGGAGAGATTACAAAAGGTTATCGAGGATTTGTGCCCTGATGCTGAACATAGGTTTTGTGTTTGGCATATGTATACAAATTTCTTTAGGGCTGATTTTAAGAGTTTGGCACTTAAAGGCTACTTATGGAAAGCTGCAAAGTCAACTACTGTACCTGATTGAAAGTTTTGGATGGATGAACTTGCGAATGAGAGTACAGGTACATATGAGTGGTTAATGAAAAAGGATCCACGTGAATGGAGTAAGTCTCATTTCTCAACTAAGGTAAAGAGTGATATTTTTATGTGAAGTTTTCAACAATGTAGTGTTAGAAGATAGGGAGAAATCAATCTTGACTATGTTATTTCAGCTGCATGAAGAGAATACAATCAAGGAGGGATAAAATGAGAAGAGCCCGAGGACCTTTGTGTCCTAAGATCCAACAAAAATTAGCTAAGTCTATGGAAATAGTTGAAGAGTGTGAAGTGGAATGGTCTGGGGGCTGCAAATTTTATGTGAAATGTCCTACTGGGGAATACGTGGTTGATTTGTCAAGCAAGACATGTGTATGTAGGAGATGGGATTTGACCGGGATTCCATGTGGGCATGGGTTGCTATTATACTAAATAGAGGGGATAATCCTACAAAGTATGTGCATGAGTGCTATACAGTGCAAACCTATCTACAGTGCTATGAAAACATTGTTAATCCAATTAACGGTAAGAAATTGTGGCCGGAAGTGAATACTCTCCCTTTACAACCACCGAGTTGGGTTGTGGCGAAGAGGGGAAAGAAGTAGAAAAAGCGAAGAAGGTAGCAAGAGGAAGATGTAATCACTCATTCTGGCTCCACTTCAAGAATAAAGGAAAAAGCCACGGTGAAGATGACTTGCAGTGTATGTGGTTTAACTGACCATAACAAGCGTTACCATGATAAGACAGATGTACAAATTGAGTTTTCTGTTTTTGTTTTTCACTACAGCGTGTTCTAAAGTTATGTAGTTGGCATTAAGTTTTTAACTATGTTTCCTGATTTTAGGATTGGGATGGACATGATCTCAATCATATAAATGAAGAAAGATCTAGCCAAGTTGAAAGTCAAATTTCAAAGGTAATTTTTCTGGTTTTGTGCGAGGCTGATTTCCACAACTAGAGGTTGATTTCCATTGATTTCGTATTTATGAGTCTTAACCATTTTTTCTCATATAGGCAAAGCTGGTACCTCGAAGAGCAAACGAGAATTCAACAAGTGAAGTGCAACAAAATCCTCCAACATATAGATACATTTTCATGCCCAAACCTGGACTCCGGGTGACAAGTGATGCACAATCTAACAACAATGGTCATTTCCCTACTGTAGTAAGGTAAACTAAAAATATTCCACTATCCAACATGGTTGGCAATTTTTTGGCCTTAAGAAACCCAAGAAAATGTAAAAAAGAAGGCTGATAGGGTAAAGCACACAAGAGTGGTCAGAGGTTCAGTTCTTTTCGCACATCCAAGGGCAAGGAAGAGTGGAGCAACTCATTAGAATATATTTTTGATTGGCAACCTATGTTCTAAATGGCCGTGGTTTAGGGTGGTCATGGAAGTTTTTGACGGTGAACTGTTTTTTGAATGTTTTTTGCTGTAGTTTACGCATTAAAGTGGTCCGAGAATGTTTTTGAACTGTAGTTTAGCCATCGCGGATGAATGTTTTTGAATGAATGGTTTTATTCCAGCAATCTATCAGCTTATGTTCCTAATTTTGAGAATGAATGAATGAATGCACCTGAATTCTGGTTCTGGTGCATCAGTACCTGATTTGGAGCATCAGCTTACCTGATATACATGTTTCTGGATGCTGATACACCTGCTTCTAGTACATTAGCACCTGATTCTTGGTGCCGATGCACCTGAATTCTGGTGCTGGTGCATCAGTTGCTGATTTTAGGACCTGATACACCCGTTTCTAGTGCATTAGCACCTGATTCTTGGTGTTAATGCACCTGAATTCTGGTGCAGGAGCTGGTGCATCAGTACCTAATTTGGAGCATCATCTTACCTGATGCACCTCAGGTTGGTGCATCAGATTGATTCAACTCAATCTGGTGCATCATGCTTGTGGCTGAATGCACCTGAATGATTCAACTCAATCTGGAACATTACATTGTTGGTGCATTACAGTGATTCAACTCAATCTGGTGCATTACATTGATTCAATCTTAAGCTGGTGCATTACATTGATTCAATTTTGGTGCATCAGCTGAATGCACCTGAATTTAGCAAAAGGCATTTGGACCCTTTTTTTAACTCTAACAATTGCAGATAACTCCTGCACCTCAATCTGCTAATGAACAAGGATGTGCAACAGATTGAGTTGAGCAAAAGTAACTTCTAATTCACACAAAATACTCCCCAACTATCAAAACTATAAACTCAGCCACAAACAAGAAACAAACTAAGTTGGAAGATGATTCATTCGTTCAATAACACAAAATACATAAAGCCAAGTTACATCTATTACAACCAACTACAAATACAAATTACAAAAAATGAAGTTATTAATTTGTTCTTTCTATTTGTACAATTGAATTGATCTCAGCATAGCTTGGTTTTTAGTTGGAAAGCTTCATGTGCATAGCTTAATGGTGGGAAAAAAAAAAGTCTCCACTCCAATCTGATGCATCACTGCAACCTGACGCACCACAAGTTGAATTCTCAGCAGCTTCTTAATACTTCACAACAATTTGATGCACAATCTGGTGCATTAGATTGCTTCAACTCAATCTGGTGCGTCACAGAAAAATAAGAAAACATCATGCACTTGGAAGTGGATTCATTCATTCAATATATTCTGATCTGAATAATACAAAGTTCATAAAGACAAGTTACAACTATTACAACTACAATAAAGGAGCTATTCTACTTTTGTGAAATGCATTACACCGAAAAAATTAGAGCATTTTCAACCCCTACTTCATTGATCCAAGCCAAGACCCAAGTAATCTTCATATTTGCTGTGGTGGCTCCTAGGCATAGTACTGATCTCCATTCTATTAATAATCATTGAGAATTCTCTTCATATCTCTTATTGTGACTGCAATGGCCATAAGAATTCTCTTCATATGCCTGTAAGGGTTTCTGCTTATGCTTCTGCTTCTGCTACGCCTTCTCTTGCCATTGAAATTTGTAGTTAATAGACAAAAATCCCTATAAATGTTCATGCACCACCACTCCGGCCTCATTTGTTCCACGAAAACTTGCCCAGAAGATGAACATCTGGTCAGGTTTAGAGGATTGGGGGTTCCGGTTTGGGGTTTTGATTTTAAGATTTTGATTTGGGTTAATAACATAAAGGTGTGTTTGTTTGATGCTTTTTGGTGACTTGGATATAATTTATGCTGTCAATATGCCACGTAGAAATTCTGTTATCCACGTGTAATTTTTCGTTTATTTGGAGATACGAAAGTTAAATGTGTGATGGATGGATAATTATATGTAAAGATGAGTGATTATTTGGTAACTCGTTAAAGTTGAATGAGTAAGTATAACAATTTTAAAGTTTAGTGAGGATTTATTAAATTTACTCCTTATATACATGATGATGTTCTTGTTGATATACCGTATTCTTGAATTCCTGATTTATATGCTCTTATATTCCTTTTTAGTGGTGGAGGCAGGGGGTCTGGGGAAACCGGACCTCCCAATTTTTTGACAATTTTTTTTTTATTTTAAAATTTTATTTTTTGTATTTTTGGAACAATAACCTGGCTGGATAATTATGGCAGAATAGGCTCTTGAACACCACCCTTCTTCCTTCCCTTGTGATTTGCATAGGTTCCATTGTTTCCACCTGTTGTTCTTACAATTCTCTCTATTGATTAAGCATTAGTATTAGGATAATATACATTAATTTATATTCATTTGTTTCCTTTCTCCATCATAAAGTACCAACTTCCCACATTTTAACAGATAATGTTCAAAAAAAAAACAAATCGTGGGCCCTGCACCCGAACCCCGTGGGTCCCCACCTCTTCAACTTTGGGACCCCCTCCTTCGACAGGCTGGCTCCGTCCCTACTCCTTTTCTACGACTTACCGACACGAGTAATCGAACTATCACTCTTCTGCAGATTCGAGATAATTTTCCTAACAATGTGGAATGCCTTTGTGGATAAAGAATGTGCTTACATGTCATAGCACTTGTCCAGACAATCAACTGTTGTCGCTAAACATTTGAAACTATCGTTTTTCGATGGTATTCCATTTAGCACACTTAATACTTTGAAAATATTATGTATATTCAGAAGTCATATAAGTTAATTTAGTTCTTTAATTAAAATCTTCTCATACATTCATTTTCGTTTAAGGTCATGGAATGTTGTTCTATTATCCAACTATTAGGTTCTCCTATATACTTCTCAGGTGTAAATGCATGCTCTTTTTAGGATTATCTATAAATTAAGCATTCACTGCTTTCACTATCCTTTAATTTGTTGTAATTTTTGGTAGATTCCTTCTTAATAGCTCTACACTGCCATAATTCCTTCAAGGAATAAGATTTGGTATAAACAAATTTATCGTACATTTTATAAATCACCAAAACTGTGAGTGTTGTTTTATATTTAAATCATTTTTTAAAAAATGAAGACTTACATTATTTTTTTTAAAAAAAGATAAACCATGCTATGCTTACTTATGGTACCCTACATGCGATGCACGTCTTCCAACTAGCTAGTTCTATTCAAAAGGATCAATTGTGCATCAAAACCCAAAAGTTAGAAACTATTTGTGCACTCAAGGTGATAGATCATTTGCGCCAAATTTCCATTTTATATTAGAATTTTTGGACTATTACTAGTGTTAGGTTTTTAATGTAATTGGCAAATTTGTAACAAAAAAGACTAGAATTAATGTGTTGTAAAAGTCAATGAGTAAGTTGCAAATACTATTAATTGGCTTGTATTAGGTATAAGTTTTGAGAATGGAAAGAAGGAAAAAAAACAGCGCCACAATTTTGCTAGACTGTCGTCCTTACTTTGCTTGAACGACAGAAACATAAACATCGTCGCCCGCCGTCGCCTTGCCTTCGCTCGAGCGACAGTGTTTTTCGAAAAATTTTAATTTGCGTTTTTAAGACTTTGTTCTGCCCATTCAATCCTAAACTTAAACTATAAATACCAGCAAGCCTATAAACGGTTTTTTGAAGGTTGAACATTGATAAAAGACATATTGCTCCATATCCACTTCTTCAAATAAACTTTCAACCTTCATGTTTTGATTTATTCTTGGGTTGAAAACATCAAATCCATAATCCAAATACCAAAATGCTACAACTTACACATCTGTCAGAGTTCTGAAGATTAAGGAAAGGTAACTGGAGTTCTAGTTGTTGGAGAACGAGGAGCTCTTCGTTGATCTACAGGAGATATACAAATTTATAAAGTCGGGAGTTAGAGCAGGAGCATGCAATCCAAGAGGGTTTTGAAAACTGTAACTGGGCGTTGGTGCAAGAGCACACAATCCAGGAGGGCTGTGGGAATTGCGGTCAGAAGGTCACAAAGTATTAGTGGTAGTCGTGTCTGGTGGACTGTAAGTTCATAATTCATTTATAGTGGATTGTTGACTGGTAAAGTGTCCGAAGTTTTTACCCAGTTCAGGTTTCTCCGTGATCATTCTGATTGTTTATTTATTACTTTCATATAACTGCAGTAATTCAATTAAGGAAAATTGACTTGATTGATTAACCATCTAAAGATAATTAATAGTGACTTGTTGCTATTTAATTATTAATTTTTAATTCTACATAATCACCTATTTACCCCCCTCTAGATGTAATTTGGGTCGAACCTCGTAATTTCAATTAGTATCAGAAACATTTCGATTCCTGACCCATAAATTAATCTAGATGAGTCAGTCTCTATCTGTGCCTCGATTTTTTTATGGAAGCAACTATGCATACTTGAAAGTTCGAATGAGAGCATTCCTTAAAGTATTCGATGAGTGTATTTGTATCAGTGTACAAAACGGTTGGACTGCACCTTCATCCACTATTGCTGGTGTTGTTACACCTACTAACATTTTTCTTTGGACCAAAAATCAAGTAGCTGATTGCAACTGGAATAGTAAAGGGCTTCATGCTTTGTTTATTGTTGTGTCTGTAAAGGAGTTTAGGAAAATGTCGATGTGTGAAACTGCTAAAGAGATTTGGGATATCTTAGAGACCACGAACAAAGGTATCAAAATTATTAAGAACTCCAAACTGCAGATGTTAACATCTAGATTTGAAGAAATTAGAATGAAGGACAATAAATTGTTCGATGAATTCTATGTGAAGCTTAAATGATATAGTTAACTCGAGTTTCAACCTAGGTGAGAAGATCTTGAGTCTAAGATAGTTTGAAAAAGTCCTTAGATCCCTACCTGAAAGGTTTAGACCTAAGATCATCGCTATTGAAGAAAGTAAGGACTTAGATGCTATTAAGATAGAGAAACTCGTAGGTTCTCTCAAAACCTATGAACTCATCATTTCTCAATCAAAGACGGTTTAATCCATAGCTATGAACATCATTAGGGAAGAAGAGAGTGAGTCTACTGACGCTGAGACCCTTAAGGGCGACGGAATAACTTATTTCATTAAGAAATTCCAGAAGGCGATGAGGAATAAGAGAAAACCTCATGGTAGGAAAAATGATGTCCCTAGTAAATTCTCGAAAGATAAGCATGAGAAGAATAACCTTAGGACTTCTAGTAAGAAAACCCAGTTAGTTAGATGCCATGAGTGTTAGGATTTTGGTCACTATAGAAATGAATGTCAAAATTTGAAAAAGAATTTGAATAAAGGAAGGGGTAAGACATTATCAGTGACTTTGAGTGATGATGAATTAGATTCGAGTGTTCAGAGTGATACCTCTGGTGGTGAGGATAAACAAAATTTTATGGCTTTCACGTCTATAACTAAGATTGAATCTGATGAGGAGAGTGAAATGGTGGAGAAAAATGAACAAAGTGAGAATTCTGAGGATGAGATCGATATGAATCTTATCGACAACTGTTTGATAAGAGTCTTAAAATCAAGAAGGTCAATAAAGCGGTACTAAAAATGGTTAATGAACTTGAAAAAGAGAAAAAAAAAACTCTAAGT